GGGGAAATCTATTTTCGGTCAAGGAATATGTCTCAGTGTTTATCTCTGTCCATCACCTGCAAAAGAAATACTACTGCATCTTTCATAATCTATCACTAATTGCACATCGATTCTTGCTGGAACCTTCTCTCGAAAACGTCCAGTTTCTGCATTCACTGTCGACCCCATGAAGGAAGAGGATGTCCTCCATCTGGCGCCTCGGGCTCGTGCTAGGTGAGTTCTCGCCATCGTGTTCTTTTTTCATGAAGGATCGTCAACGGCGAGAGAGACAGCTGAGGAAAAATGTGGATATTGCAGGTTATTTCCTAGCAGTCGACTTGGCACTTGCAGAGGAAAGAAGGGAAGACTTGCCATTTTCTCGTATGTGCGGAGTCATCGATGCCCTCATCCGTCGGATGAACTGGAATACACCTGACGTTATCATTCTACCAGGTACGTCTCTCATCGTTCGTGCGTTCAAACGGAGGAGAAATAAAATTCAGAGTGTTCGAGAGCAACCACTACAGCCACGCAGAAAATGGAGTTGAGACGAAACTTTTTATGGTCACGCTTAGTGTCGCATGGTAGCCTCGTATATCCTCTTCAGGTTTATGGTTGAAGTGAGTGGCCAGTAACGTGGGCAGAGATAACCCCATGTGCTTCGTAAGGCAAAAGAGGCTATTATCCTAGAGGGAGGGAGGGGAAAGCCATGCAAGTATTAATACTTGGAAGCCAAAGCTATCAGTGAATTATATGACACTTTTGCTTGAAATCTCTTAGGCGCGAAGAGAACAGACGGAGAAATAAGGAAAGTCGTGGAACATTGTATCTCGGGCTGGTTCATCGGAGGCCCTCTCATCATAGGGAATGCGACACGAGGAAAGGGCATTCATTCATGTCAAGTCCACGTCTCATTTTACCATCCTAACGCCTTCAATCTGTCGCAACATGAACTGGAGGGTCTCTTATCTCATGACATTTGGATATTCGTCGGAATCAAAGAGTTTTCCCTCGGTTCGAGCTTGCCTGGGGTCCAATCTCAAGTATATCAACTCGTTTCCCGCACCAACACTTTCCATCTGTTCGAGCATTATCGATTGGACATTTCTGAGACCGAAGTGGTGGATGCCGTGGCCGAATACTTTGAAGAGGATTGGATTTCGTATGGGAACCAAGACATCTTTCTTCGACGCAAAAATCTTCATGGAATAAAACTGAAATGTGTGACTGGGCCAGAGAACCCTCAGAAAATGCATAGGCACAACTCTCAGGGGGAAATGATCGGTTTAGAGAGTGGGTTCGTGGGAGATTTGTGGAACGTGTTGGAAATGACCCTCAACTTCACTTGTGACTGGAGGGAAGAAACTGAAGTCTTTGGAGGATCTTGCAACGGAACAACAAACGAATGCAGCGGTCACATGAAATATCTCACTACTGGAGGAAGGGATGTTGCCATTGATACGTATGGAAATGGTGTTGATCGGGAAGTTGTCCTTCGAGTCTCCTTTCCCATCATGGAAACCACAATCTGCATGTACGGGAAGACGCAGGACAAAATCCCTTGGTGGCGAGTTTTCTTTGCCCCGTTCCAAGTAAAGCTTTGGATAGCCATATTTGGGCTCTTCCTCCTGTTTCTTCTTGTCGCGCCCTTGCTCGCACCTGCCATAGGCCAGTATAACATATTCTTCGTCGTCGCCATTTGTTTGAACCAGAGCCCATCGATGGGAGGTGGCAGACTATTCATCTTCGTTCTCTCCGTTTCGTTCTACGTCATATGGGCTTGCTTCTCGGCCGCTCTCACGTCTGGATTCGCGTCGCGTACTGAATTTCCCTTCTCCTCGGTTGAGGATTTCGCCAACTCCTATTGGTCCATGGCAGTCACCATTCGTGGGATCGAGGAACAGATTCATGGGAACCTGGAGTTGAAATATCTTCTGGAGAAAAAGAAGAATCCAGTCTACATTCGAGAGCAGAATGCCACGAAACTAATCTTGGCCGGCAGCATTGCCTTTCTGGGGGAATCCAAGTACTTGGAGAAATTCGTTGAAGATTATTTCCTCAGAGATCGGGACGTCTGTCGCATTAAGAAGATCTTGACCTTCCCCGTGAAACAAAAACGTGGGTTAGTGTTTGCCAAGAAATTTCCTTACGCCAGGATCTTCGACTTATTATTGTTGAGGATGCAAGAAACTGGGATTCTCCATCTGATCACGACGAAATGGTACCCAGAACTCGGTTCCAACTGCGAATCGAGCGAAGCCCTTCGATCCAATTCCATTTCCTTGGACACCCTCTTCCTCCCTTTCGTCATCCTGGGGTCAGCGTCTCTTCTGGCATTGGTTGCCCTCATTTATGAACTCTTTCGATGGAAATGGTGGAGAAAGGGTTGAGAACTGTAAATACCTCTGTCTATTCTGCAAAACACGGGGGACAAAACGACTTCGAAAGATTGAATTCCATTTCCTTGACTGCGAAAGTATGAATTCATCTAATTCATTCTAGAAATCAATGGGAATTAGGAGTCTCGTCTGAACTAGATTTATTTTTTGAAACCACAATTTATTTTCATATTATCTACTTAATCTCTAGCCTTCATCGTGTATGATTTCTTGCTTGCGTCTGATGATAGGGTTATAGTTGAGATTATTTCATTCCGCCTGAGCTATTTTTGGCTTCCTAAAAGAAATTTGATAAAGGAGTCATCACGAAGAAATAACACCTGCGTAGAATCTTTAGAATCCTTCCGATTAGAGAAGTGGCTGGAGCGGAATGATCGTAAGCAATCATTAGGGAAAGTTCGGAGAGGACAGAGGAATTTCAATCATGTTTGTTGTTGGGGATTGCGAAGAGCCAGAGCTCTTTGCTTGGGGATGCAACCGTCCGCTTGCCAATCTCATCTTTGGTGTTTCTATGAGTTCCTCCCGGCTCCAGTCCATCAAGGAACAGAATCCGTCTCGAACCTGATCCACCCAATCAGCACTCAGGCCCCTCGACTCCAACCGAGCTGAAATAACAAGCATTCGGTTTACGAAACGAGACCCTAGCTGGGTTGCCTGGCAGCAGCAGCAGAGTCTCGAACAGATTCACCGATCTTCCTAGACTCCAAGTTGGGTTTGTATACCGTTTCTCACCCCAGTCCACGTCACGGCTAACTCGGGCGCTGAGTGGTCGGAAGACTGGAAGAATGCTGCGGACAATTGTGTTTGAATGGAAGATAATGGGACACGTGTAGGACCAGGGCAATGGTCTGACGCCTGACGAACGGAATGCAATAGGTCACAGGAACGATTCATACACGAGGTTTCTTCGAATCCATTTTTCTCAAGACGCCTCTTTCAACCCCCATCGAAAACTAGATCAAGTGGATGGGCTGTCGATGCGGGAGACACCTATCATAGAACTTTTCGAACTCATGCAAGATGCATCACTGTCCTTAGTTTGGAAGAAAGCATGTAAACAATCCAATACGCTTGAATGATTGATTGCAGATGAATAAATCAATTATAGAATCTATGTTGGCGGAAACGTCACACTCATCTGTTGCCAAGGAGATTCGGGAGATGCTTATTCTATCTTGTTTCCTATAAAATTACCGATGATTTTTTTGCTGCATGAGATTAATGCGCCACCTTTGGAAAACGATGGTCCCGAATTTTGCAATGAATTAAACTGTCCACGAGATTGACAGTTAAATGCACATAATAGGACAATTGTAAACATTCTTCATTTTCTTGCGTGTTCCGCCTTCTTTGCTGCATTGTTAAAGGTACGATTTGGAATCCATCGGTTTTGATAGGGGCACTAATGTCTGCATTATTTTTAAATAAACCTTACAAGAACAAACCTGGGAAGGGGATCAATTCAATTTTATGGCAAGAAAATATTTGGAAATGAGACTTCGCCTTTGAGGACAAAATTCGGAAAAATGTTCTTCGGTTTAGGATGAAATTCCTTAATGGAACCTCGATGAACTCATCCATAAAGTACGCTTGTACGCTTGTTGTACGCTTTCTTTTAGTCTTCTGCGATGTTTTTCTTCGGACCCAGAAGTTTCTACTCCGTCAATAACATGATCCCAGACAACGTTGGGAGAATTGCTTCTCAAATCACACGTTCGCGTATTCACTCTCCTCCTCCTCCTCGAGAGCGAGTGCTGCTGCAATGTTGCAATGGCACTTGATGGGCAAGAAGGGGGCGTCGAGCAGATTGGATTCTCGAGCGCTTGGGGGCATTATGTGGCGTGGGTGACGTTCTTTCTGCATGTCAATTCCTGGAATGAATGTCAATGTCGTGTTACGTCGTGTATCAAGGTTATTTCTGAGCAGCCCTTTCTCAACAATATTAGAAAACTGGTTTTGTCGATCCGGTCCAACCTTGCCACACTTTTAATCCTGAAAGGAGTCGTGAACTTCCGTCCATTTTCCTCTCCCCTTAGGGGAGAGAGTGACTTCCCTTCGACCCCTACGCCAGACACTGGCGCGACGCTCGTGGGGGAGGGGGGGCGCCTTTTCTAAAGCCTTTTTCTAAAATCATTCATACCACGTATGAATGATTTTAGAAATCTAGGCTATCAATAGATAGATTGATTGACGAGTGTCAGGAACACCTAGGACCGCCACTGATAGCCTCGAGCCCTTTTCCGACCTTTAGACAGGCTGATGACAGCATAAAATTCATGAGCTACCATAAAATAGGCGATGCAAGCGTTGCAAAGTTGGACCGGATAAACCATAACCAGAAATATTGGGATATGGGACAAACTCGAAATTAAGATTTAAGATTTTGGTTTCAGGTGCATTCTTTGACAAGTACCGAGTAATTCAAAGCTGAAGAGTGTCGTCAGCGCTACTCGGTATTTCTTCTGTCACACGAAGAGCATGGTTCGAAATGAAAAATATATATGAATCTGCCCGGCATTCATGGGAACTGCCTGAGGGATCTTCTGGGAAGCGGGATGTTTCCGTTTGAATTCATGATGAAGTTTGGATTTTGATTGATTCTAGTCTATTCACACAATACAAATGCCAAGCCTCGCCCATTTCCTCGGAGGCACAAGAGATAACATCCAATGGATATTGAGAGGAGGCGAGGCCATTCGCGCAGCAGAAGAGAATCCGTGCTACTCCGGGGGTCATGGAGTTCGACCGACGGTTGCGGCATTGCCGGAGGCCTTCGACTGGGCTCGATCCCGTCGCTTCACTTCTCGGTTTCCGAGCGATTTTGGAACGTGCATGGATTCAAGAAGGGTTGATTCTTTCCGATTTCCCTTCGGCGCAGCGCAAGCGAAAAAACCCCTTGAAGTGTGATTTGTGTGAAAGATTGGGTCAATGTCCGTGTAAAAGTTATCGATTAAAGTTGATAGAAATCGATTAACACGTTCGCCGCCAAGGAGTTTGGAATCATCGTTCTTCCCTATGGCGAATGTGACACACCGGCGTGTCACGGTCGACGTGCTTAAGTTGAAGAGGCTTGATGGAAAGAGAAAAGGAATCGGGGGGTCATCAATGGCAATCGACAAGTTTTCGCTTGATTTTGCTACACATCCTTAGGAATTTTAAAACCATGTTTCATCAATAAAATCATTCCAGGTGACCGTTTCAGGCGATTAGTATGATTCCACTATTGAAGTTGGAGTGTTTGGCAAGTTTTCCCAGGGAATATTCATCCCACAGCCTTGAAATTCTAATGGTATGAAATAGTATTCACAAGCATTGAAAACTATTTCCATACTACTCTTTCCATACCAAGGACCCAAGACGAGTGTCAGGTTAAAAGGATTCTCCGTTGTCACAAAATGGGGAGGAAATTATTTCCGTTTTATTTATGTTTGATTTTGAGAGACATTGAATCTAACGTTTCGCCAATAGTGATGCATCGAGAAAATACAATGCCAATGCAGATGGAGGTTATCAGGTCGACTTTTTCAACGTGGGTTCCTACATTATTTCATTAATTTTAGCTCCTTGAAGTGTAAACTGGCCTTGGGTGGCAACTTCTAAGTGGCAGTATGTCATTGCTTCTTGCCATTTTTATTATTATTTACTTCATATTTATCTTTTAGGAACTAAAATTTCCATTTTAACTTTGAAAGCGACGCATTATGCTACCTTCGGGATCAAATTGGAAATTGTTTTAGAACTTCAGAACGTACCTGTATTGTCCTAAAACTCCGGATTTTGCAGGAGAGGGGAATTTTAGCGTGCCACAAAAAGAGAAGAAACGACGGTTTCCAGTTGAGACAACCCATTCGGCTCAGCAACGTTGCGTCAACATTGAGGAAAGGTTGAAACGTTGAGACTTGGTTGGAGTTGAGAATTCGACAAAAGTCAACATCGATGAAATGCTAACTATTCGCAATTAACATTATTTTCAGCATTTGGTGACTACTCGTGAAATAGGGAAGTCGTTCAGAGGCTATTAGGAGCAAATTCGTTTTTCATCGTATTCTCAATGTTGTTTCTACTTGAAGTTATATCTACATGATATCAACATAAAACAGGTTCTAGGAATCGACACGAGATGGCGCCTAACCGCCGATTTGGCGATGCTTACCCTATGCCCTGAAATAAAAAGTACCCTGCATTTTTCATACAGTACCCGATTTTTTTCCCATTTACAACACAAGGGAAGGTAGGAAAATTTCTAGATAGACCTGTTTAAGGAGGTAATCCGGCAGAAAGATACTCGAAGTACTTCTGGTTAGTGGGTCCGAGGAGACAAGCTCAATTTTCCTTAATCTCCACATGGCATATGCACTCACTCGAACTCTTCCATAGAGAACAGAGCATGATAAATGTGCCTGTAGGGATGTTTCCCTCTACTGAACAGAAATAGTTGGGACATGTAAGTACTTAAATCGAACTTTGATTCCGTAAAGGAAATAAGGCTTTGAGGGTCTTTTACGTGGGTTAATAGTATCATGCCATTTGGGTACTCTCTGTAGGGTTATCGAATCTATATTCAATCTCATCGGCTAATTAATCCCTTTCCAAAATCTGGATAGGGGAGGAGGGACTATAATGTCCGTACGCTGGCAATTCAACATTGACACAACGTTGCACAGCATCAAATTTTCTACGTTGAGCTGTCTCATTTCACCATTGTGGCAAAATGTTACGTTGAAAAATCAACCTTTTGTCAACTCAATGTTGACACAACGTTGTTGTGCCGAATGGGAACTCATTTTTGTGTCGACCCGCTCAACAGATCCAATCCACTTCCGGCACGCGCCCAAACACGCACTCGCACACACACATACGAGGTACAGATATATGCGTACACGTACGCTTGCATGCACGCATAGATTGCAAGCAATTACACGGAAGAAACAATAATTTTTTAGACGTATGCTGGTCGCATTGAATAGAAAGTTACCATACAGTTCCCATCCTAACGATGTCCCATCAACGAATCCCATGCATTATTCTCGAAGATAATGAGGGCCGAAAAGTTATCGATTCTTCCTGAGGCAGACTCCATAAAAAGTTACCTTCTGTATTTCCTATCGACTCATCGAGGAAAGAGGATGTGTTGCATCTGGCACCTCGGGTTCATACTGGGTGAGTCAAAACCAAGATCCTCTTCTGTGTCGATGCATCATCGTCCCCAAAATCCTGATGATGAATTTGAATATCGCAGGCTCTTTCCTCGCCGTCGACTTTGCACTAGCCGGAGAGGGTGGGGACGTGTCGATTTCTCAGATGTGCCAAGTCATCGACTCCTTTATTCGTCGGATGAATTGGAATACGCCTGACATTATCATTCCATCAGGTACGTCTCTCCTAATTGTTCATAAGGAAAGGCAAACACATTTAGCTTGACTGACTCAGATGCAAAGGAGACCAGTGTCACGTTCAAGAGTAGAAGACACGAAGTCCACGCTCCCCTTCCTAGATGGAAAAGGGGGCATGAATGACAAAAAATATTGATCACGAGCTTCTTATGCTTGAGTATGATGTCATATTGTAGTCTCGTGGATACATTATTCTAACTTGCCACGAAGACCTGCCATATAGTTATTTACATACTAAAAGCTATCCTAGAGGAAGAGAAGGCAGAGCCATCAACGTAATAAGAAGCACAACGGGGAAATGTCAAACTATGCAAGCGAAAATCAAAATAGAACTGCTGTGTTCAGGGAACTACCTGTTTTCTTTTCGACACCTAAATACATCTTTTCTTTAATGAAGCCATTCACCTACAGTTGCTTCACTTTTCGTCCTCAGTTGATATTGAAGTACTAATTCCGTAGCCGAATGACATTGACATGCTCATTACGTAAAAGTCTTCTAGATACCGTATTTCCAAGGCTGTTTCCTTGGTTGTCCTGAACATCCACATCGGCTTCAACTTCCTTCAAGGGATCAAACAAACAGGGACGTAGCCAGGAATTACTTTCGAGGCTCTTTCAGGCTCACGAGATGACGAAGTTGACAAGGATGGCGAGTTGTTGGGAGTAATGAAGAAAACTTCAAAAGCCCTTTTGAGACTTCAACCCCATCCACCTCAGTTCAAAATAGCCCCTTCTATTACCAAAGTTTTAACTTTGTTTGCATGAAAAGAGATATGGGTCAAGGGCTGACCTTGTATTAGTCATAATTTAGTGGATGGGGGGGCACTGTATTGGTTAGGAGTGATTGTAGTCAGAAGGTGGAATTGGAGTACGAGTCGAAAATTCAGTAGTATATGCGAAATTCTCAAACACCCTCACTCCCATACACATTCCTTCATGATATTTTGCTTCAATTCGGGGGGTGTCCAGACACTCAGGACACCCCCCCCCCCCTGGCTACTTCCCTGCAAACAAACGAAAATCCCTTTGTGAATGATCGGCGCAATATGGCCAACACCTACTACCGAAAATGGTGGATTGTCCGTAGTGTAAGGCCAGCGTCATCCATGCAAATGCGTATCATTGCCCTGGGGGATTACAGGAAGCGACAACTGGCATGTCCGTTTTACACGAATAGTCGCTTATAATTTAGTGGAAAGTGTGGAGTAGGTGCCACTTTCATGGTCTGGAGAGGGACGATCAGAAGACTCATCTGTACGATTCCGAGGGGAAAATGATCGGGTTGAAGAGTGGGTACGTCGGAGACCTGTGGAATGCGTTGGAAATGGACCTCAACTTCACTTGTGACTGGAAGGAAGAAGCAGACGTCTTCGGAGGATCTTGCAATGCAACAACGAATGTTTGCGACGGGCACATGAAGTACCTTGCCACAAGAGAGAGAGACGTTGCCGTTGCCTCATATGGTAATGGTGGGAATCGGGATGTTGTCCTTCGGGTCTCCATGCCCATTATGGAAAATATCCTATGTCTTTATGGAAAAGCGCAGGAAGAAATCCCGTGGTGGCAAGTGTTCTTCGCTCCTTTCCATACAAACCTTTGGCTTACCTTGTCCGGTCTTTTCCTTCTATTGGTTCTTGCCGCAGCGCTGATCACACCTCTCATCGGTGAGGATCAGGTATTCTCCGTCTTTGCCATGCTTTTGAACCAGAGACCTGCGAAGACATTCAACAGACCCTTCTTCCTTCTAATTTCTGTCTCGTTGTATATCATATGGACTTGCTTTTATGCCGCGCTAACATCTGGCTTCGCATCGCGCAATCTCTTCCCCTTCTCATCTGCCGTGGAATTCGCCGACTCTCGTTGGTCTCTGGGAGTCAGCACCGTGGGATATAAGGACCAAATTCAGGGAAACAAGGACTTGGAGTATATCACGTATAAGAAGCGGACTCCAGCCCTCTTGCGAGGAGAGAATGCAATCAAGGCTGTGATGACCGGCAGCACGGCTTTACTTGGTGAATCCAAGTTCTTCGAGAAAGATGTGAAGGACTTTTCGGGCCGAGATCGAGATGTTTTTCGCATTAAAAAGATCTTCACATTCCCCGGGAAACAACAACGATGTCTGGTGTTCGCCAAAGACTTTCCCTATGCCAGAATCTTCGATCTGTCGCTGTTGAAGATCCGAGAAGTTGGAATTTTTCGCCGAATCGAAACAAAATGGTATCCGGAACTGTCGACTAGATGTAATGCAGACGAATCCCACCGACTCGATTCCATTTCGCTCTACACCTCACGCCTACCTTTTGTCATTCTCGGTTCTAGCATTCCTCTATCATTGCTTGTTCTTGTTTGTGAAGTATGCCTATGGAATAGGCGGAGAAAGAGCCAAGAATAGTAAATATTTCAAAAGTTCTGAAAGCACACAGAAAAAGCCCAATAGACAAAGAAATTAAAATTGTCATTAATTTCACCGCTAAAGCGACAGCTCATCTGGAATAATTGCAAGAATGGCTGGAAAATCGGAGTCTACATGTATGCAATTAGAGTCATATAAAATAATAGTGTTCATCATCTCATCTGTCGTGTCGGTTTCGACTATCTTTGGTATAGATTTAATCCTAGATTTATTAAAGGAGTAACATGAATTGGAAGATATCGAGAAGTAAACTCCGTTAATCTGATTTGGAGACCTTCCGGCAGAAGACTGGTCGGGACGGAGTGGCTGACGATCTCCAATTTCAATTTTCCAAAGAAGACATTAGTGTCCGTTTTCATGCCCATGCCCATGGCCAAGATCGTAGTTGGCTGCTTACATTCTTCAGTCTGGGCATTTTGAATCTGGAAATATGCCATACAACTTTCTCTCAATCCTGACCACAAGCATGTATTGCTACAAGTCCTAATCCAGTCACATGACATGTATGTATCATTAATCCTGCAAATAAAGCCAATTAGCACAATTTTTGGCGAAACCTGTCATGACTGACACTTCGTTTGTTTTTCAAGTGTCGTTCTGGCAAATGGCCTTACCCGTACAGCTCACCGGCTTCGGCCTCGACGCGTTAATATACTAAATCAACTTGATTCTGAGCCCATGTGTAAGGAAGAGAAAGCCTCCTCTACGGATGGGAAGAGCAGGGGTGAGCCTTCTCCCCTCAAGGAATTCTTGTCTAGACAGGGGAAGAAGGAAGGAGAGACAAGCCAGACAGTGAAGAGTCACTTCATCTTCCCCAGCATATAAAAGAACTACTTTATTCAGAAATGACTTTTCTCTCCGATGACCTGTTAATGGAATCGAAGGAATGCTGATATGCTCTGCGGCATAAATCAACGGTATACACTCTCTCAATTGCGTCATCCAAAATTTCCTCAATAATTTTTCCTCGATATTGTGCCAGAAGCACATGCACACCTTGAGCAGCAGCTCGGTTTCGATCTACAATTGAAGCTAACAGTGAACCCAGTTGTCTCTTGACCTCAGCTTTGAATGGAGAGAACGTGAATTCATTTGGGTTCAAATAGGGACTATATGGTGGAATTTGATGACATGGAATGGGTATCGGAGAATTACCCTTCGGCGAGCCATACAGCTGTCCATGATGACGACAGCTTCGTTCTCTGGCCCTATTTTTGGTATCAGGCTATGAGTGGGAGAAATCGCCGAGAAAAGGTATACGAAGCGAGTCAATTCTGAATAAAGTCGTTCGTTCTTTCCATCCAGTGGAAGGAGGACATTGGGTTTATCGTCTGGTTTCTTCTCCACCCCCCCCCCCCTCTCCCCTGTCCGAACAAGAATTCCTTGAGGGGGAATGCTCACACCTGCTCATCCCATCCGTAGAGGGGGCTTTCCTTCTTTATACATGGGCTCAGAATCAAGTTGGCTTGGTATAATTCCCAAAATACGAGGATGGTTGAACAGGTGATGAGACTTTCACGAACACCATCACATTCATTCAATAGACGAGGGCAAATTACTCTAGGCAGACACATTTGTAAGGAATCTGCTGCGCCTCTCTCTTTAGCCAATGGACTGCGCAAGGTGAAATGCGTATCGTCTGCAGTCGTGCACGCTCCAACAACTTCCTGTCGTTCGATTCATGAGAGCAGAAAGGGTCGAGGTTAAATTCATCGCAAAATGGTTGAGATAAGGTGGAACGCCTCAAACCTTATCTGCTAAATGTTTCTCGATGAAGAACGATCCAAGAAACTAATGGCTTAGCAGACATTCCAGATTTCCAGGAGAAATATTTTCTGTAGCCAATGTCCTCAGGGTATCTTTGTCTTCAACGTCAGCACAGTGCTGCCAATCCGCCGTTAGAGCAAAGAGTGAAGAGTATAACTAGAAGTGACACTCCGAGGGGTGGGGAAGGGGGGTCGAGCCATACCGGTGGCTTGTTATTAACGAGCCATCAGGAACATCACGCGTCATTATTCATCAGTGCATTAAAAATAAATAACATTTCGGTTTTTTTTTACGTGCACACAGAAGCGCAGCCCCAATTCAGCCAGGTGGGTGCAACAATATGACTCGGGGCTCGGGGCTGGGCTCATTCATGATTCAACCATCATGGATTCCTGTGCCATATACACGTCGTGGCTGGCCTTGCGCGATCGACGTAAGAAGGGAACTCGTGCTCGAATCTTTAAACTTGTATGTTCCTGGGAAAAGAGTTTGTAATCGGGGGTTTACTGCAAAACGGCAAATCCATCTTCGTCGTGGGAACGATTCCCCTTATAATTTCCAATATGCTAATAGCTAGAGTATTTCGATGCATACTTAAATATGTCGATTGATGTCTCTGTGAATTCAGGCTTCCACCTTGTCATATCGAGTCGCTAAGGAATGGGGAGGGCTCCGTGGCGCAACGGTAGCACGTCTGACTCCGGATTTTGACGGTTGCGTGTCCGAATCACGTCAGGGTCATGTCCTTTTTCTATCTATTTTTTTTCCTTAATGGTTTCTGATTCTTCGATACTTGGGGCTGAGAGACGTCGCGTAACTGATTTCATCGATCTACAACGTGTAAGACTTATCTCTTCAACCCCTGAGAATACGTGTACAACGGCATACGGATTGAATTTCGTACTTCAGGGTTTCTAAGTTATTTTTTTTTTAGCTGTTTGAATTCTGGAAACGCAAACCTGCAGCAATCTAGCTACTCATTTCTAATGTGGACATTAGAGATACGTCGCTCCGAGATGTTCAGGCCCAAGGTCGGCAAAGAATCGGCTAGTCCTGTGTCAGACATTTGGTTTTGTGAAATGCAGCAACCGCACGTGCATATTTGATAGGTGAGCTCGGCTGCGCTGAGAATTCCAACTCCCTTACGAGTCTGGTAGAGTCGGACCGAAGACGTAATATCGATACAAGTATGACAAAATGAATACTATCCAATTTTGATAGGGGTGTGCCCAAATGCGTTCAGCATGCGACATCATTGGTGCCATTAGATGGATCTCGAGTAACAGAATAAAAATTCCCGAGGGAGCTTGACTCGATGGGCGCCCGAGGTAAAAAATGATGCGTCAAAAACTAGAGGGAAATAAATGAGCAACAGACAAGCCAAGCCATCTGACAGTTACTCGAACAAGCAAGGTTCTCATGACAGAAGTGAGATGGCGCCTAAATCGCTACAGTAGTGAATCATCCCTTTGGAGTGACTTCTTAAGAAAGCATCGGCGCCAGCTCATGAGAAACAAATTGGTCCACTTCCCATTCTGATTATTCCAGGAGCCTAGAGACCCTTTGATGGATTTTCATTCGCTTGCCACGTGACACGCTGTGACACTATCGATACTCATTGTCTCAGTCGGGAAGAGACTATGACTATTTGCAAGCTATAACTAATGTAGGATTTTAGAATTACATCACCAAAGCGAAGGCGATTTTTTGCCTATATCGAACGTGAACACGCCTGTTCGCCACGATAACGAGTCATCAGTTATTTCAGTACATCAGTACTGTTATTTTTCAGCGATCGTACGCGTTGGAAGGCGCGAATTCCTCGTGAGAGGAGATACCTCAGCCGAGGAAACCCCTGGAAAAGGGTCGAAATCGATGCTTTTATCAGTTGTGACGATCAGACGCGGAAGGGAATCGAAGAGGGGAGGCCATGGCCCGAGGGCACGAAAACTTGCGAATGCAGCCGTTGGGCCTGGTTTCCTCCACAGTTCTCTCTCGCCTCTCGTGCGTGACGGATTGTTGGACGAGGTTGGGGCCTCGTCGTGCGATGGCTTTTTTTTTTTAGCTTCACACAGCGAAGTATTAATACATATTTTTTCATGTTTGTGTGGGATTTCAACTCTCAGGGAGAAAAACTAGAGGAAAGACGGACCTCGAGGAGAGGGCACGTGGAGGCTCGACTCCTCCGTTGCGCCGCGGAATAAACCTCGCGAGACCGCTTCTGCTCTGCCTTCGGAAGCGTGTCGTTCGACGAATCCATCGTCGGGATGCCCCAGGTCCTGCCATTCTCTTCCAACCGGAGGAGATCGGCACAAGCAGATTGGCACACGGGACGCCGATCGAGCACGGTCAACCCCCGATTTTGACGCCACGACGCAGGCGGCGCCACATCGAACGAACCGCAGTTCTGCTAGCGGCTACGATAAGGAAATCTCCGAAGGACAAATTGACTAAATAGACGTGAAGCTCGTATTACCACCTTCATTCCTCCCGATACACTGAACTTGTTCATACGTCATCCCCTCTACGCCCATGAGTCACCTCCCACCGTGGCAACACAAGCGTCCCTGTGTCTTGTCCTCGATAAGGGTTGCGGCATGTACGCTGTATTGTCAGCGGCAGTCCCGGTTCAGTCCATCCGAATATCTTCGGAATTTAAGCTAATTTTTCGCGTGTGGTCGAGTCAAATTTTGGATCAAAGCGAACTTTGGGTTCATAAAAAAAGAATTGAAAAGTTGTGGGGACGAAATCGGGCAATCGATCAATCGATAACGCCGCATTCCGAAAATTATCTGTTTATCATATTATTTTCGTTTCCAATCGGCTCTCGGTCTCGAATACGCTCCAAAACTTCCCAGGTGTTGTTCAGATACTCGACTCTCAAATCGAATTCCTACAATATAGCTCTCGAAACTGTTCTGCAAAATGAGCAGGACTCACAGGCAACAACGGAACGGCACGCAAGACTCGACCGAAACTTGAATGGAACTATGAAATCATGGACACCGAGACCGAATTGCGTCTCACTCGCCTTTTCTCCTCGCACCTGGGCTTCACACAACGTCGGGGAAGTTTCCACTCCAAATTTCCATAGTTCGATGCTGGTTGGTAGGAAGTATAGCCACTCTTTAGGCTGACACCGACGAATTTTGTCGCCCCCGTCCATCATCCTATTCATGGTGGGGGGTGATCCCGAGAGGAGTCCTAACGCCGCTAATTTTTTTACTGCTTCATAAACTCGAGGGCTTGCTTTCAGAGTCGCAAAGGAAAAAGGGCATTTTTCACCCTTTGCATCACAGCATCGTTAATGTTCTTATTCCTTTGAGTGTCAGCCTTAAGAGTGGCCCTACTATACACTCTCTACGCTATGATTAGAGCGCTTTTTCTTTTTCTTGATACTCTGCATTTGTCTCCTTTGAGTCAAGTTGTGCAATCATGTCGGAGAATGGTTGGGTAGAAATATTACCGAGCCCGTCTGCAGATGATGACCTTTTCGCCCTTTCGTTCCTCTATGTCTTATCGTGCAGCCTTGTTAGGAAGTCGGATTGGTTCTCTATTTTTGAAAAGTGGAGTCACTTTAGTGTCGAGCCACGACGCACTGTTTCTTCTCATTTGGAAGGTTGGCCAATTAGTAATTGGATAAGTAGGCTACCTTAGCTTATGAAACGAAACGAACTGTTATTATCGCGGAATGCTCCTCTTAATTTCTGCATGTCCCAAGGCACGCGTTCACCAAGAAACGTCCAATGCAATGTATGACCATTAGTGGTTTTTTTTCTGCAATAAATATATAAAGATATTATCAAATCAATAGTTATCATGGGGCTTGGAAATGGATATTCGGGAAGGAGTCAGAAAGCAGGAAGGCAAGAAACAGGATTTGACTCTATCTGTAATGATAAGGATGTCAGTGAGAGGCACAAATGGATTTCCCGGGTTCGTTCGGAGGTGTAATGGAGGTGGAGGCACACCTGACCGACAATCAGGAGGCCCGGGTTCAATTCCCGGCGGCCCCCTTGCTTTCTTTCGTCCTTTCCTCCATCCAATCTTCCCTCCCGGCAATTCTCATGACACAATCATTTGTCATTACATTTAAAAAACCGTCAGACATTTCTGCCCCACCCTGTACATACACACACGCACACACACACACACACACACACACATGCATACGCTCGCACGCATGCATAGATTGCAAGCAATTACATGGAAGAAAATAGGATTTTTTGGAGATAAGCGGGTTGCATAGAAGAAAATACAGTACCCTTCCTAACGATGCCCCATTAACTGATCGTATCCATTGTTCTCAAAGATAGTGAGAGCCTCAAAATTATCGATTCTTCCGGAGGCACTCTCCGGAGGGGAATAGTTACCTTCCGTATTTCCCATCGATTCATCAAGGAAAGAGGATGTGTTGCATCTGGCACCTCGGGTTCATACTGAGTGAGTTAATACCAAGATTCTCTTTTGCATCAATGCATCATCGTCCCCAAAATCCTGATGATGAATTTGGATATCGCAGGCTCTTTCCTCGCCGTCGACTTTGCACTGGCCGGAGAGGGTGGGGACGTGTCGATTTCTCAGATGTGCCAAGTCATCGACTCCCTTATTCGTTGGATGAATTGGAATACGCCTGACATTATCGTTCCATCAGGTACGTCTCTCCTAATTGTTCATAAGGAAAGGCAAACACATTTAGCTTGACTGACTCAGATGCCAGGAGACCAGTGTCACGTTCAAGAGTAAAAGACACCAAGTCCACGCTCCCCTTCCTAGAGGGAAAAGGCAGCATGAATGACAAAAAATATTGATCACAAGCTTCTTATGCTTGAGTATGATGTCATATTGTAGTCTCGTGGATACATTATTCTAACTTGCCACGAAGACCTGCCATATAGTTATTTACATACTAAAAGCTATCCTAGAGGAAGAGAAGGCAGAGCCATCAACGTAATAAGAAGCACAACGGGGAAATTTCAAACTATGAAAGCGAAAATCAAACTAGAACTGCTGTGTTCAGGGAACTACCTGTTTTCTTTTCGACACCTGAATACACATCACCCAGATATTGTTTTAACCCTTTCAGACCTGAATTAAGGCCGCTATCGGAATAATATCCTTTTTTGCATTTTTTAAACAGCTTTTTTGTGCTTATAATTGAAATTTTCATGCTTTATATGTAGTTTTCATATTTTGCATAAATTTACCATATCATACCATGTATTATATATTGAACATTTCATTAAATAACTAAAGATGACAAAACTAATGGGCGAAAGAAGGCCTCTGATAGAACTGAGCCGTGCATAATTGCGCTCATCGTAGTGTAATATGGAGCGCAAAGTCATCAGAATCCTAATTGTCATAGACACAATGTAAATGCAATGTCCATTGGAATGGACCCCATGTATGAAAGGGTTACAAATTAAGCCATTCACCTACAGTTGCCTCACTTTTGATCAAGTCTCAGTTGCTATTGAAGTACTAATTCCATAGCCGAACGACATTGACATGCTCATTGCATAAAACTCCTCCAGATACTGACATGTTTATGGCTGTGTGGACCTCCATCCAACATACTTGGTCGTCCTGAACCTTTCTCCCAGCCTGATCCAACCTCCTTCAAGTGATCAAACAAACGAATACCGCTTTGTGCATCGTCTGGGCAATATGGCCAACACCTGCCACCGAAAGTGATGGATGGTGTGAATAGTTTAGATGGTTTTCCTTGATTAACCAGTCATCCTTCGCAAAATTTTCATCGGCAATAATTGCACGTGAGACGACCTGTCAGTGGCGGGACATGCACGCTTTCCCTACCCCGTCGAAGGCATTAATCATGCACAATAGATTGCAACTAACAGTCGTCACGATGGCTCCGCGGATTTGCCGATCGCTGTCGCCATTATTAGTCCCATCCGCCATAGGAAACCATACGATGTTTCGCTGCCTTTCCTTGTATCCACCCGTTTTCACGTCCTTTTCCCTTTGGCTGTGTTGCTACCGCTGAGCTAAGAAAATGAACTGGAGATGGCGTACAATAGAATTGGATTTGCTGCAATTGGAAGCCATCTTAGTGGGGTCCATGGTGGCTCTACTCCATTCACTACAATGGAATTTACATACCACATATAGTTTCCCATCCCAGTTTTCTAGCGGTCGTGAACATGACGGCAAACAGTGATAGTATAGGAAACACAATAATTCTGGGAGAGCATCATAGGGCTGAAACGTCATGTCCGAACTCTACTTTCATGTGGGCCAGTCACCAATTTCTTGAGTGGGGCTCTAAGTTCCAGGACTGCCTTTGCTGAGATGTTTGGGCCTACGTAGGCGATAACGTTACGCCGCCCTTGCATCATCACAGTCGAAATATTTTGCAGCAAGTCTAAAGCATCAAGTCAAACGAACTTCGAGTGAACGTTCAAAGGTAAACATAGGCTAAAGGAGAGAAGGGCAACCACGAGGGTGCATGGTTGAGGTATTGGAGGATATTGGTAAGACGTGCTTCCGAAATTCAAATGGGCTTCTCCAATGTTCCTGAAGTACCTGCTCCATTACTTCGCCAATACACACCACAGGCCCGCTTGAACCTGGTCCAAATCCAATGTCTTCAAAATGCAACCGTTTTCCCTATATATCTCTTATCTCCAGTTTTTTTCTTAGCTCAGTGGTCGCTACGTACCGTGGATGTTACCCTAATAACTATAGCGTTAACAGGAGTACAAAAAGTTTCATTCGAAAGACCCTCGCATGTTCATATAAGAAGAGTCATTATAACGGAGGCTCTTGCTTTAAATCTCTTAGATAAGAAGACAGTTCAAGAAATGCGAGGAATAGCGAGGATGAAACCTTGCAATGCATGGAAGATCGGAGGTCCCTTCATCTCAAAGAGTGCAGCCAAAGGAAAGAATTCGCGCCAAGTCCATGTCTTGTTTCACAAACCGTCTGCATTCAATCTCTCTCGGCATGACCAGGAATCTTTCATTTCTCAAGGCATTTGGGTCTTTGCTGGGATCGGGGATTTTCCTCATGATTTCAGCGTGCTCGGAGTCCAGTCTCAGATTTATCAACTAGTTTCCCACGCCCAGGCATTCCAGTTGGTGGAGCATTATCGATTGAACGATTCCAACATGGAGGTGGTTGATACCTTGGCCGAATGGCTCAATGGGAGCTGGAAGTTGGAGAAGAATCAGGACTTGTTTCTACGACGTAAGAATCTACGAGGAATTCGATTGAAATGCGTCACTGGACCAAGGGACGATCAGAAGACTCATCTGTACGATTCCGAGGGGAAAATGATCGGGTTGAAGAGTGGGTACCTCGGAGACCTGTGGAATGCGTTGGAAATGGACCTCAACTTCACTTGTGACTGGAAGGAAGAAGCAGACGTCTTCGGAGGATCTTGCAATGCAACAACGAATGCTTGCGACGGGCACATGAAGTACCTTGCCACAAGAGAACGGGACGTTGCCGTTGCCTCATATGGTAATGGTGGGAATCGGGATGTTGTCCTTCGGGTCTCCATGCCCATTATGGAAAATATCCTATGTCTTTACGGAAAAACGCAGGAAGAAATCCCGTGGTGGCAAGTGTTCTTCGCTCCTTTCCGACCAAAGCTTTGGCTGGCTTTTTCCGGTCTTTTCCTTCTATTGATTCTCGCCGCAGCGTTGATCACACCTCTCGTCGGCAAGGATCAGGTATTCTCCGTATTTGCCTTGCTTTTGAACCAGAGACCTATGAGGACATTCAACAGACCCTTTTTCCTTCTACTTTCTGTCTCTTTCTATATCATCTGGGGGTGCTTTTCAGCCGCGCTAACGTCTAGTTTCGCATCGCGAACTCTCTTCCCTTTTTCGACTGCCATGGAATTCGCCAACTCTCATTGGTCACTGGTAGTCATGGCAGTGGGATATAAGGAACAAATGCACGGTAATATGGACTTGGTGTACATCAGGGAAAAGAAGCCGGCTCCTGTCCTCGTGCGAGGAGAGAATGCAATCAGGGCTTTGCTGACCGGCACCACAGCCTTACTTGGCGAATCCAAGTTCTTCGAGAGAGATGTGAAAGACTTTTCAAGCCGAGATCCGGAGGTATGCCGCGTTAAGAAGATCTTTACATTCCCCGTAAAACAACAACGATGTCTGGTGTTCGCCAAAGACTTTCCCTATGCCAGAATCTTCGATCTGTCGCTGTTGAAGATCCGAGAAGTTGGAATTTTTCATCGAATCGAAACAAAATGGTATCCGGAACTGTCGACTAGATCTAATGCAGACGAATCCCACCGACTCGATTCCATTTCGCTCTACACCTCACGCCTACCTTTTGTCATTCTCGGTTCTAGCATTCCTCTATCATTGCTTGTTCTTGTTTGTGAAATATGCCAATGGAATAGGCGGAGAAAGAGCCAAGAATAGTAAAATTTTCAAACATTCTGAAAACACACAGAAAAAAACCCTACAGACAAAGAAATAAGTTGTCATTGATTTCACCGCTAAAGCGATAGCTCATCTGGAATAATTGCAAGAATGGCTGGAAAATCGGAGCCTACATGTATACAATTAGAGTTATATAAAATAATAGTGTTCATAATCTCATATGTCGTGTCGGCTTCGACTTTCTTTGATATATAAATAGACTTAATCCTAGATTTATTAAAGGAATAACTTGAATTGGAAGATATCGAGAAGTAAACTCCGCTAATCTGATTTGGAGATCTTCCAGCAGAAGACTGGTCGGGACGGAGTGGCTGACGATCTCCAATTTCAATTTTCTAAAGAAGACATTAGTGCCCATGCCCATGCCCATGCCCAATCTCGTAGATGGCTGTTTAGATTCTTTTGTCTGGGCATTTTGAACCTGGAAATTGCCATAAATCTTCTTCTCTGTCCTGACCACAAATCACCACAAATCAATACAAGTCTTAATCCAGTCACATAATATCTATGTATCATTAAGCTTCCAAATAAAGACAATTAGCACAATTTTTGGCAATACTTGTCATGAATCACATTTCAATTGCTTTTCAAGTGTCGTTTTCGCAAATGGCCGTACCGGTAGAGCCCACGAGCTTCGGCCGCGACGCTTTAATAATTCACCAATTACGAGGATGGTCGAACAGATGATGAGACTTCCACGAACGCCATCATATTCATTCAATAGATGAGGGCAAATCACTCTTGGCAGACACATTTGCAAGGAATCTTCTGCGCCTCTCTCTTTGGACAAAAGACGGCGCAAGCTGAAATGGGTATCCTCTGCCGTCGTGCACGCTCCAACAACTTTATTCATTCGTTGGATTCATGAGAGCAGAAAGGGTGAAAGCATGTTAAATTCACCACAGAGTCGTTGAGATAATGTGGAACGCTTTAATCCTGCCCTGGTAAATGTTTCTGGATGAGAAACGATCCAGGAAACTAATGGCTTAGCAGACTTTCCAGATTTCCAGGAGAAATGTATTCCCTAGCCTGTCCGCAGGCTTTGTCTTCAACGTCAACGCGGAGTATCAATGCGGACGTATCTTCAAAAAGATACGACCAATGCAATGTTATTGCATATGTTGTAGGGTTTTGTGGAATTCAGGGGGATTTGGAATCTCCCTAGGGAGAGACAGGATTCCACTAAACCCGCGGGTTTAGCGGAATCCTCTGGAAAACCTCCATTATGTCACCTCCCCCTAGGGGGATTCCAAATCACCCGGATTAGCTGCCAATGCTTCCATCATTTTGTTTACCCTTAGGGAGAAAGAATTATGAAGACACACGGGGAAAATGGAATTTAATTTCAGTCCATGTATAGAAATAAAAAAATCAACATCAATAAGATTCGAAGTGGAGTCAATGAACAATATACTTGTCTTATATTGGGAGGTTGCACGGCTTTCCCCCGTGACACTTGGATGCGCATGTTATGCCTATTTTTTTTTACACTGCACCTGTTGGTGCGACAAGACTTGTTGCACCTGCAGATGGATCCTGCACCCCCACTGGCGTAGCTTGTTTAAGCCTTCGTTGACGCAACCACTGTCTTCTAAGCTTCTCTTTTTTCGTTAGTGGCAGGCAGAATCAGGCGCGGCATTCTCACTGATTCTCACGGCGCCAATTAGTCTATTCCCGACCAAAGTCTTTCGGATACTTCCAAATAAAGGCGTAATAAGTTTTACGGATGAGATTTTGAGCAATAAATTCTAGGGTTTGCCCTCGCCCATTATGGGAAGGGTTATAAAAATAGCTAGGGTTGTCAACGTGTGATATGGATTTTATGCATTTTCTTCGTGTGAGTGTCCTGCGGATGTCGTGGCGGCCATGGGAGGATTCCAACAGAATCTGACAACCCTGCGCATTCTTTCCCAAAAAGGGTGGCACTCGCATGTCAATTCCAGTTAATCGCTTTATGGGTACCCACAATAAGTGTGAGGGGGATTTCATATCCAAGAATTTTGGTCGAGAACAGACTACAACACGGTATTCTTCAGCCTTAAATAATCCGTAAACGCAAACGAAAGGAGAATTGCCCTCGGCGGGACAAGCCGTGGGAAGGGTAATTTTCAAGCCAGGGAGATATGGAATCTCCCTAGGGTGTAATGACATTGACACGACTTTGAGAGGATTCCGATAAACCCGCGGGTTTAGTGGAATCCTGTCTCTCCCTAGGGAGATTCCAAATCCCCCTGAATTCCACAAAACCCAATGACACATATACAGCCTTTGTTGTATATGGAATAAAGAGATCTGGTAATATGAAAACCATTTTTCAAAGGCTTTCTCTTTCTTCAACCCCAACTCCAACCCGAACCACCACCTCACCGATTTCACTAACGTAGGCCTAGGCCTAGCCGACGGACTGTCTTCGGGTCAGGCCCAGGCCCACCTTTTTCGTTCAAAAGAAACTCAATCCTCGACTTATTGGGGGCCAATTAGGCCTCAAAGGATTAATCCCTGGTCTTCGAGACATCTCCTCGAGGACGAGTAACTTTAGGTCAATCGCAGGCCTATTCAGTCTCTATTGACCCTATTAAGATAGGACGTGCAACTTTAGATCGATTAAAAATCCATTTCGAGTTTCATGAACCATTTCAGAGCGGATGAGGAACGTTAGGTCAATATGGAGTTCTTCGACCCGTCTCGACGAGTTCTGAGGAGGAAATGCTCCTAGGAAGCATGGAATACAACCTGGATGCCATTCTGTTAATTCAGGAATATCCGAATGAGATATCTCCATATCCCACCAAATAGATCGGCCACTGCTAACCACCATTTCAATCTCAGCTCATTTAATGAACTCGACACAAAATTATCTCATATATAAAAATAGAAGATTCAGGCACCGATACTAAAGCCGAAGAAGTCATGAATCTGTCATAACTCAGGCACGATATCCGGCAACACTGGTGGACGGGACTGGAGCCAACACGTTAAGCCTAAATGAACGACAGCTAATTCATTTTTTTTAAATGGCGAAATTGTGCACTGGAAGCAACAAAAAGGACACTTTTTGTCACCTACAAGTCAATATCTTTCCTTTGGTTGGTTTATTTCCTCTGAAATTCCCCAGGAGTGGCTACCCAAGGGGAAGGAAAAATAAAACAACAAAAAAAACAATAACCGAAATAAAATTCACATATTTAACAAGCTAGATTCGGTGAACTCCACGACCCCAGGGAGATTAAGCTTCAAATTTGCTGGAGCGATTTTGTGTCGAGAGAGGAAGAAGCATGGCAAATTTCGTTCCTGTTGATGCTCTCAGAGAGGAATACGAGACGGTTGAATTTTGTCTAGGGAAGGAGTTGAAGAAAGGTAATAGGCGCTTTGTCACGCTCGTAGCAGATAGGTGAGGCTATTCCGTGCGAGCTGTGTCCATCATTTTGGATGAGTATACATTTTCCTTTAACCTGGGAACGTAATATCATGATGAAAGAGAAATCGATTAATTAACAAAACTTTAATTTTAAGATATATTATGGTTCGCCTAATGAGTGAATCGCACCAGAAGAACGTGAAAGAAGGCGTTGAATGTGTCCCTCATTCTGGTTCCATGCAGAGTAGGAATTCAAACTTTTTTGGCAACTTTCCTGAAAGCCACCATTGGGATTTCCTGTCGAGCTCGATATTCTTGCTTTTGCAGTTAGATGCATTTTGGATTCCTCTTCGTGCTCTAACAGGACTTCTCTTCGAATCAACCGATCACTTCATCCTTCTGAATCTAAAAAAAAATAGTGCAATATTCTCTCATCCATCCAATGTTGCATCCAAGGGGGCCATCCGGACTCGGCTTTCTTTCGTTGAATTTCGGGAAAGCGTTTGCATTGCTTTCCGCTTCGTCCAAGCCTCCTCCGTCCTCCGTCCACCACGGTGGAAGCGAATCGCGCTCAACTTGGGATTTCGATGCTGCAAGGTCGCAATCGCGAGCGTGCTTTCACGGAATGACTCGGCGGCTCCTTCTTCATTCCTGCGAACAGGAGAACCTGGATTTCGGAGGGAATAGATCGAGGTCGACAAAAAAAACAGCTTCGGCACCGAACGAAGTTGGCTATCGTGGAGTTGTGAATGGACGTTGAAACCGAATGAGATCGACATGGAATAATGCCGACAATCCAACAGAAGTACGAAAACACTGAAACACGCGTTTCCTCTTCCGCCACATGCTTGGAAAGAGAGAACTCTTCTTTAATGAATAATAATTCTCTGCATTAAAATAGGTCTTGGGTTATTTATAATCGAAATGAAAACGGTAAGTTCCGCAACAACATAAAAACGACGGTTCCCATTTCTTTCTCCTACATGGACATTGGCTTTCTAATTTCTATGGAATCCTTTTTCTTTGCTGTATGGGCTTGTCCCATGTCCTGCAAATATGTTGGAAATATGTCATCCGTATGCAGTGGATTCCGCTTCATTGGACCATCGGTTAATGGGAGCAGGCGGTTTATGGGGGCACTCTGCAAGGAACGGAATCGTCGGAATCATCGGGACAGCCGCAATATTGGAGCAAATTGACCTGGAACCAGTGTTCCAATAAAGTGGAATCCGCCCACGATAAAGAAGTTATCCGTCCGCCTGTCTGTCTGTCTGTCCGTCCGCAGGAGGCATGCACGGGTTGACTTTTTCGAACACAACCCGATCGGCCCGATTCGAATCGTGGTCCTTCCCGACCCGAAACTCGATCGCCGGACCGAGCCTTGCGGACCCCACCCGCGGGTGGCGTCGGGCCAATCGGGCCGGCCCGCAACCCGCTTAGGCCTCATAGCCTCAGAACTCGGGGTCTCTGGGTTCGTCCTTTTCTAAGCGGCTCTGCTGACGCTTTTACCTATCCTATGACGTCGTATTCGTGCTGGCCTGTTCAGTGCTCTCACAGTTCACTACGTTCCGCCAGCAGCTGTAATCGGTGAGAGAAGACCCTCTGATAGCGCATTCGTCTGCACTCAAAAAGAAACTTGATTGCCGACCGAGCTGCCCGCCCGATCCAAAGCGCGGTCGGTTACGTCCCTTATTGATCCAAAGCGTGGCAGTTTTAAATTCGAACGTCGTTACTTTAGAATTCTTTGTGAGAGAACTCACTTAAAATTATTATAACGGGAAATCGGGGGCCTCTGGGGATGGGAAGCATCTCTCCTTTTTCATCTGATGCCAGAGTGTTCCAATTTCGTACGGAGTGTCTCATTTGACTATTATTAAACGGAACCCCCTGAAATTTGGTATATTCGCTGGGTGCATTAAGTTGGAGACATCTGGCGGCAGGAAGCATAAAAATGAGCTGGGGGGAGTCAAGAGCGCAAGCTTCAATGCGTTTCTTATGGAAACATGCAGAAAGAAACTGTTCTTATTACGAAAGTGCTTCATTTTTTTTTGTCAGAGGGATTTCTTAAGGCCAAGAATGATTATATAGTAAGTAATCGATGGGCTGAAGTTTCTATTTTGAGCATCCAGACAGCCTGAAAGGCCTGTTATGAAGTTTCTTTCAGTTTAGGCCTTCGCTTTCCATGGGCCCATGAAAATCAAATTTGGCATTTGCTGTCATAGGATAAACAGCCAACATTAACCCTTGACCCGATACGTTTTATCATAAAGTCAGGGCCGGGTTGGGGGGAGGGGGGGCAAAGGGGGCTGTTGCCCCGGGCTCCACTCTTCATCGAAGGAAATGAAAAACGTTAAGTATTTGAGTAAAGTAGGAGGGGGGGGGGGGGCTTAGCTCCAAGAATCCACTTGTCCGGGGCCTCGCAACCTCTTAATCCGGCCCTGCTGAGATACTGATCCAAAAAGGGTTTCTGTCATAGGTTATGAATTACCCCCATGAAGCACAATAATAGGAAAAAAAGCTAGCAGCACTTAAGGGAATACAGAGGCAATGGGAGTCAAAACTTCAAGTTTAAAGCAGTTTCCCGTTGTAGTGAATTCTATCAGGAACTGGAAGATATCAATAATATCCCATTCATATCATGCACATGTACCTCACTGAGGCTCATGATTCCATGGAAATCCTTTCATTGGTGAGTGGCTTTGAGGAAAACCTGCACCTCTTCTGAAGGTGAAATTTCATTAAGGATTGAACCACGTTTTTTGCACACCCCTGAACTCTCTCGCATTTATAACATGTTTTACTTCGGCTAGAAGCTCCCTTTATCAATGTCGTGGCTCTCAAGTTTTGAGAATAATTGGGAGGAGCCCCACGTGAAGAAGGATTGTACAATTCTGTGGCTTTGTTCCATTCTCCTCCTTATGTGCGATTCCCCCCAGTCGTGGGCGGCGCCATATTTAAACGCGCCATCTAGTGTTAGTGCACCCAGCGAATAGGAAAATTGGAGAATTACGGGGGGGAACGAATGACGGGAAGCACCTAATATTGTTAATTCGAGACATGGCAGTTCAAAATCCCAGCTGTGTTTCATTTAAACGCTATGGGACAAAAGTCGATTCACCTCAAATAGGAAGACGTGATTGCTACACGGATAGCAGTTAGTTATAATAAACGAGAGAGAGCGAGCTGATTTCTAAATGATAAGACTTTCGCCCACAACAGGGTGTCCGGTAAGTCAGGAATCATAAGGAAGCCTGAAAGTGTGAAGTGAAGGTTTCCCTATGATTCCTGACTCACCGGACTCCCTGTAGAACTTAATGTCCCGGCTTTTGTGCCATACCTTAGTAGAAAAAATAAGACCGCCGACATACGCGTGTTATATGCTGATTGTAAGTGTTCGAGACAGTCTGTTGCAATTAACGTCGCTTCCTCCTCTTGTGTCCAAGATGATGAAGCCTATTCATTCTTCTTCTTGTTGGTTTTATTCTCGATTGACCATGCATTGCCCCTCATCATTCCAAGAATACCACTTTGACGTCATTATAAATTCTTGTTAAGCAAAACCACCTGATAAAAAAAAAATGAATAGTCGTTACCGAGATTCAACTTGACGACAGTTTTTCTGATGCAAGACGATGTGAGATAAAACCTCTGGTGATAAATTGCTGGACTAGGCTCTCCGCGAATCCATGTAGCATCACTCTCGTATTGCTCCCTGATCGGTTTGCCCAGCGAGAAATATCGCGGGTTCTTGGCCGTCCCTGAGCATGAGGGAGTTGAGCAACTCTCCTCCGGTCAAAGTCATTTTCGTGATGCATTTCAAATTGAAACCTTCGGCCACAGGTGTGGAAGAACCACGACTACTAAAAGCGTTAAGCATTGTGATTAACGTTTCAGTGATTAACACGTTTCGAAGTCGCGCGAAAAAGGAAATGAGGTATTGAAAGCCTTCGACTAGCAATTTCCTAGAGTACCCATTCGGCACCACAACGTTGTGTCAACGTTGAGAAGAGGTTGAAACGTTGGGAGTTAGTTGAAGTTGAGGATTCGACGAAAAATCAACATCGATGAAATGCTGGCTATTCGTAATAAACCGTATTTTCAGCATTTGGCGACTACTCATGAATTAGGGAAGTCGTTCAGAGGCTATTAAGGGCAAATTCGTTTTCCATCATAGTCTCACCGTGTTTCAACGTGGAGTTATCCACATCATATCAGCAAAAAATAGGTTCTACGAATCGACACAAGATGGCGCCTAAGAGCCGATTCGGTGCTTGAAATAAACAGTACCCTTTATTTTTTATACAGAACTCGATCTCTTCCCATTTACAACATAAGGGAAGGCATAGGAATTTCTAGATAGACCTATTTAAGGAGGTAACCCGGCAGAAGGAGACACTGTGTACTAATAGCCAGTGGGTCCAAGGAGACATACTCAATATTCCTAAATCTCCACATGGTACAGCCTTGGCTTTTCCATAAAGGATAGAGCATAAAAATATGCCCGCGGGGTTGTTTCTTCTAATGGACAAAGAGTGTCGAGCCATGTAAGTACTCCATTCGAAATCTGATCCAGTAAAATAAATAAAATGCTCAGGGTCTTTTACGTGGGATGATTGTACTCAATAGAGCATGTATCATACCACTTTGGTACCCTTCCGTGGGATTATCGAATCTATATTCCATCTCATCGTCTTCTAATTAACGCTCTTTCAGACTTTGGATAAGGAAGGAGGTACTATAATGCACGTACGTTGACAAGTCAACATTGACACGACGTTGCACGGTGGCAACTTTTCTACGTTGAGCTGAGTTTTCTTTTCAACCTTTTCACAACATTGTGGCAACATGTTAAGTTGAAAAATCAACCTTTTCTCAATGTTGAGACGACTTTGTTGCGCGGATTGGGTTGTTTCATCGAGTTGCCTAGTCTTTAGAGGAAACGGGAATACTTTTCTTTTTTACTCGTGCAATGACAAGAACCACTTGAAGGGATAGGGGAGGGGAGCGGTCGATTAAGGGATGTCATTAAGGGCATAGCCATTTCATCCTACTTACCTTTTCAACTTCTCAACTACACACAGCGGTAAAGTAAAATAAAAACAAATAAGCCAATTAAAATTTAATATTACGGACAAGTGGAAATGAATGTTTTTCGTGATGGAAAGATGAGTGAACTTAATCGAATGCTTTGGATTTCCGTCCCTGTGGAATGAGCAATAACCTCGGAAGAATTGCGATAACAAGCTGAAGAATGAAGATTTAGAACAAGTTCCCGTCCCAGGGACTCCCGCAGTTGAAATGGGAAAGGACAGGGGAAGATCCCTTCCGGCTTGGGAACTGAGGGAACCGCTATGCTGGGGGCGTAGACCAAACGATAGCTATTGCACTCTTTTTTTTATTATTAAAATGTTAGTGAAACTCATCGCGCATTCCATCTGGGCAATCATTAGTGGCTTGGTTCGGATTTAATTAATTTTAATCGTCAAAACTGTTTTCTCACATTTTCCCCTCTGTAATATGAATTTTCATTGTTGTTTCTCTTTTTCATTAACGACCCTGGGAATGTGAATACTAGTTTCTTTTTTCTTCAAAATATCATTCCACTAAGGCCATTTCGCTGCGCAGTGGTTTCTGAGAACGTGATGTGGATGTGCAGGGAAACTCTTAAACTTCTGTTAGCATTGAAT